CCCCCAACACGCGCGAGAACAACACAGGCCCCACCTTTTTCCAGTACCCGAAGCACAGAGGGAACTGCCGCAGGAACTCATCGTACGCGCGGTGGGCATCCGCCGAGGACCCGACCGACTCCACCTGTCGATTGGCATCACGTGGCATGTTCGGCCAATGTTTTGGATGCGGAAAAAACTAACATCTTCGAGAGCTCCCAAGAGGCCAAAGCTTGCCGCGGTGTTGATGCACACAGGGGCTGCGGGCCAACGGCGGTAGATATGGTTTACAGCACCGAATGGAGTGCCTCCGCGGTCCGTGCAAAGGGTCTGCCTAATATAGGACAATGTTTTTGATCAAGATTGAACAATAATGTCGTACGCTTGGGATATTTCGCTTGAACGTAAACCCTACCAAAAACCACGCATCATCGGTGTTGTCTCGATCATGATCATGGTGGTCGTTGACTCCTTGATGACTTGAGGGAGGGGGTGGGTGGGAGAGAGGTGGCCTGCCCATAGAAGAAAGACCTTGGATCGTACTGAGAGGCTCAGTAAATCAGGTCGCCAGTGTACACATAGCCTATCGGTCTGAGGAAGCAATTTTTTTGCGTCGATGCCTCACAAACCACACACATCTTCTCTGAAAGGTGTATGTATTAGTCCAAACTGCGTGCTCCCCTCTTGTGTGGATTCTCGACTTGACTCGTTTACGTGCCTTGCTTGGCGAGCATGTCGCGCTTTCACGTTTATGGGCTACACGTCTCAATGCAAGCTTGAGTGGATGCGCAACGTAAGGAAATCGAGTCAGCCGCAATCATCAACGCTGCCACCTTGCCATCCTGCATCTCTCGACAAGAAAAGTCTCACGAAAAACATCGAACTGGCTCTCTTCTACGCACCGACTTGGTCGAATTGTCGCCCCGAACCAACAAGACCTGCAGCAACTAGGGTGCAGCGGACGCTCAGCACCGTAATGATAGTTCGAGCGAGTGGGGTTGCGCGTCCTGATGGTACGCTCAAACCCGTTCCCAAGAGAGTACTTGCAGAACAAACAATAGATAGCATGTGCGTTGCTGCTGTAGTCCGCTGGAGCTGATGATCCAAGAGTACCTGCGACAGGAGGGCTGTCCAGCACTGGAAGTCCATTGGATCGAAGGTCACCGCCTGCCACAACACCTGCAGAGCAGGAGCCTGGAAGGGGGAGTCGGTCATGACGGGTGTTGGGGTGGAGACTGGAAGTGATACCCATCCCCCAGCCCCGTTGGCCGATCAACAGGCACAGCGGGAGGGTCGGGAGACACCCCCCGGGAGACCGGGAGGGCACCCCGTGCCATCCATTTTGCATCATGCGGGCTCCCCTCTGGAAGCTGGCTTTGCTGCCGCACCACTTCACAGCAGTGCTGTGTGTGCGTGTGCTCCACACGCAAGAGAGACCATGGCAGCTGCCGACCCCGCGATCCAGCGCCACGTGGCGGAGGTGAGAGGAGGAACCCCGTTGTGAACGAGATTTCCTTGCTCGGGGTGAAAAAACATGGGGGGTCGATGCAAGGAGGAGGACGTCCTTTTGTTTCAGCGGCCATGAGCGATTAACCCCTTCTCTGCCGTTGCATTATTAACCTGGCAACTAACCCTGGGGTTGCCGCATTCTCGCAGCCCATCTACCAGGGAGGAAGGAAAAACTAGAACTATAGAGTGCACCTGACGTTGATTGGTTTGTTGGCGTTGGGGCCACTCTGGTCAAATCAGCGCGGTTTGCTTTCGTGCCGGGCAACGAGACACAGACCGACCACGCAGCAGCGAAATATGTACACAGGCAGCGTGTGTTGCCTTTGCCGGTGTACCTTACATGCCCAGCAAAGGACCGGCTGTGCGCAACGGTCGTTGGCGGCATACTGACCCCGCCGGCCTTTTGAAAACTATTTGTGTTCAGCCCAAAACGTGGTTTGTTCCGATGCATATCGCGATTGAAGATCTAGTAAATCTTATGTTTGCGACACCTTGTGCGCCAGAAACATGAGATTACCCGCATCTCTTTCATGTATGTACACATCCCGCACCGCGGTCAAAACGAAGCTCACAACCAGCACCGCACGTGGGTTTTGACATGGTTGACGTGCTACGCACCCCTCTATTTTAACAACGCGCGATGCGCCGTGTGGGACCACTTCTGTCCGCTGCAAGTTTCAGCGATCATCAACACCCCCCATCAGCAGCAGCAGTCTAGTAGTATAGAGTCGCCTAACATCTGCTGTGTACCACCGGCAAGTCTCACAGAAACTCACACATGTACGTTGCATGCATAGTATACTAGCGTGCGTCGCGTGTGATACCATGCACCCCGGACCGATTGTCTAAGCTCGATTGCTCGCCATCAGCAAACCCAGCGGTGGTGGTGACAACAACGGTGGCGTTGGAACCGTCTCGACGAGAGCTTACCGCAGCCACATTGATTTGATGATTTGATGTGTAGGACTGCTGTGTGTACTTCTAAATGGCAAAATGGCAGTCGCCGTGGGAGAATCGTTTCAGGGCACGGGGGTGGGGCGTCCTATGCAACCTGCGGTGTAAGCGATTTGCCTGCTTGTTTTGCGGAAGCAGTCTTCGTTCGCTCTCCTCTTCTTTGTAGTAGCCCACGGGAGTACTTCCTAAGGCATTGTTGATGCTCTTGTCGTGCGGCTTCCGTGGTATAGTCTGGTACAAACGTTTCTCCAAGGCTGTGGCTGAGGAATCATGCGTGCGTAGTTTGAATGTGAAGGTGGACTTTGTTACACCACCATATGGTATGTCGTGTACACATGTTAAAATTTGACCCCATTATGAAAGAGAGAGGCATATCGGTATTATGTTGATCATGGATCAGACGGTTGCGGAATGCGGGAAGTTGTCACAAGCAACGGGGAACCTAAACCCGCAGCTTTAACTACATTGTGTGGACCACATGTGTAATTTGTCGCCCAGAGGAAAGATGGACCCCCGTCCCGTGGGAGCCCCTCATATAATAGAGTTTTCTTCTCTCAAGGCGAAATTCGTATCCCCGTGAGCTTCGCACCATCGATCCTACGACGATAGGAAGAGCATTGCCCCCATTACACAGGCGGGTAGAACGCCTGCTTTTCAACTCCCATCGTTGAGTGTTTGCCCCGGTGGACAGAGTTTTCGTCTCGTTTGTGTGGGACGAGGAGTTGAGTTACAGGCAGAACGCAGGAACAACCTGTCGTGTGCGTATGCGCGGCAGGCCCTGGCCGCCCTGAACGCGGTCTATAACGGGAGCGGGCCCAGCCACAAGGAGGCGGACCGGTGGCTGCAGGAGTTCCAACGGAGCCAAGAGGCCTGGAGTGTGAGTAGCCAGCAGTCGTCTTGACCGCAATACAAAACGCGATACATTTACATTGCATCGTTTCTCTGCCTAGGTCTGCCGCTTGTTTTCAAGAGTGAGGGTTAATGTGCGTTCGTGTGAGTCGACCTCACGCCATAACCTCCTCGAATGAGCTGGGACGGTCGTGCATGGCAGTAGCGAACACAGCGAGTCGGTGGGGGCGGGGCATCCGAGGTTTGTACCTAAGCGGACGCGATGTACGCCGGGGGTCGGGAACAGGAGCAGCAGCAACAGTGGCGGCTTTGCGCAGCCATGGGGGTTGCGATTATTTGAACCATCCTTCGAGGTGCCACATGCGAGCTCGAAGAGTAGTTGTGGCGAGGAAGAAAGTGGGAAAGGGAAAGGCGGAGGAGGAGGGGGCTCGGACGTTTCATTATGCTCATGCGCCCACGCGATGACTGCTGTGCTCTTTCGCAAGAGTGGTACCTGTGCTTCTTCGCAAGAGAAGTACCCTACATCACTGAAGAGTGTAGTACACGTCTCAAACCACGAAAACTGGGGGGACTGTCTCCACAATGAATGGGACGAAAACACACACACACACGCACACACACACACAAACATCGCAGCGGGTACGGGGGGGGCGGCCGTTGTTTTTACCTGATCGGCCGCACCCCCCGGCTGCCTTGATTTTTGGTTTGCTTGTGCTGCCAAGAGTTGTGAGGCATCGTCACGTGCGCTCCGTCGTGACTGCTGTTTGCCGCTTTCAACCGCGGATGCAGGTCGCCGATGCCATGCTGAGGATGGAGTCGGCAGAGCTGAACGTGACGTTTTTCGCGGCGCAGACCATTCACGCCAAGATACGGAGCAACTTCCGGGAGCTGCCACAGGAGAGGTACGTTCGCGCTGCTTGTCGTACGTGCGGGTGGTGCTGTTGGTTATGCTGCGGGAGTTCATTTTGCGATTGTTGAGTTTCAGCACACAAGATATTTTTCTCGCTGGAGAATTTGAAGGTCATACAAAATGTTTCGTTGACTCTTTCTTGTCTCGCCGGGAGTTTTATGATTTGATGCTATCGTGCGGTCAATCTCATATCATTCATGAAACCTTCTCCCAGGTTCAGTTTGACTCGAAAAACATTTACGGACAAGTCTGCTCGTGTGATGGCTCGATCCCAAACAGGGGTTTTGGTCACCCACGTGATGGGTAGCTGCTCGGTTGCTCGTGTGTTACACTTTTTCGTTCTCTGTCGGCTGCTCGTTTCGCAATTTCATCTGTTCATCTGTTTGCATGCGGTGTTCCGTCTGCACGCGCGTTCCGTCTCTGTTACCCCCCCCCCCGCGCTGTCTCGCAGCATCCCCTCGTTGAGAAATTCCTTGGTGGATCACCTGAAGCGATGGGGGGGAGCCGGCAAGTCGGCGGTGATCACACGCCTCTGCTTGGCCCTGGTGCGTCGTATTTATTGCTTGTGGCAGCTGCTGTTGTTGCTCCTGCTGCTGCTGCTGTGTGACAGCAGTGGCGCACTCCTAGAATTTGCTGTTGTCACATATCAGTTCAAAAACAATTTTCTCGAGCGAATACCGGTGTTGCTGCTGTGTTGGAGGGGGGAACAATAGCAGTTTGCCGAAGACAATAATGCTTAAGGTTTTTTTGAGCCTGCGGAGAACCACAGAATGATCTTCACGCTTCAACGGCCAGGCTCAAAGCACTCCTGTTGTAGTCGAGAATCCGGCATGTGACTCGACCCGCCGCAGGCAGACCACCGAAACGCGCGGCGTAATACAACGGGAGTCGTCTTCCTTACACACCCGGGAATAGGTCCAGTCCCCTCCCCCCCTCTAATCCCCGTCGTCCTTCGCCCACACAACCTCCCCCTGTTGTGTTGCGGGACAATGTCCATCCAGTCCGGGCTCGCGCTCCAGTTGAATTGGCCGGACGTGCTCAAGGACCTGACGGGTAGATTAATGCGGGCGGGTTCGGTGGAGCAGCAGAAGCAGGCAGCCAGAGTTCTCCTCGAGTTCATGAAGGTGTGGACGTGTTGTACAGCCGTGTGGGTTGTTTTTCTTTCAGTCGATGCCCCTGTGGGTTTCCCTATGTTCTGTTTGTGCACGGTATGTGCATTTGGGGGGCGGGAGGAGCAAGATTTTTTTTTGTGGAGTTGAATGGAATTGAAGCGAGTAAAAGCTAAGTTGGCGATATGCCTTGTTTTAGGAAGCGGGGGCGAAGATATCATCCCGTGTGCTTCCGGCATTGCGCGTGACGTGTAGGTTCTTTGGGTGCGCCTCGGCTATGATGTCGTCAGCAGAAGCAATCGACAACAATCTTACTTGCACTCTACTGCTGTGTGTTTGCTCTTGGCGAGTGGTGCCAGGGACGGCGGGGGATCGAGTGGTGCCTGATTGCATGTGCTAGTGTGGTAGTCGCCGCGTGCACGTCCGCTCCATGTTCTACTTCACGAAACAGGTTGACTTTTGCCCATCTCCCCCTCTCTCCCAGACCCCACTTTGGCACACCTTCGCTTACCACGGCCCACGAGGATTCCGATCCGCCAGCTCTATACAGAACGATCGACGCCTGTGTAACGTAGGCCTGTATGTCGACCCCAACCTGGTCTTTTCCCATGAAAGTGTTGCCGAAAAGGCCTCAATTTTTCGGTGTCGGGGGTCCCTGCAAATTTTTCTTTACACCCCGTGAGTGACCCCTGCATATGGTGATGGGCGGAACCCCCGCTTCAGGTGTTGCCCGAAGAGGCCGTGAACCACCGCATCGTCGTCCCCGAGGCCACGCAAGTGGCCTTCCTGCAGCAGCTGTGCGAGTCTTCGGGCTTCTTGCTGACCTCCCTCGAGCAGATCGCCGCGGGGCCGCTCGGCACAGAGATCATGGTGCAGGTACGGCTCGAGTGGGTGTGGGTATTGTTAGGATCGACCGCGCTAACCGGTTGGCCGATAAAACGGTTACACGTGTTGCTGGGGGCCCCGTATTCCTNGCGATCGGAATACGCAACGCTCGGCAAGATGCGAACGGCCGCTGCCGTTGTCATGTGCACACTAGGAAAAGGTGCTTCGCTGCACCTCCTGTGCAACTGAGCCGCACAGTAGTCACACGGAAAGACGCGTAGTACTCCACCTACCCCCGGAACGCCATTAACGTCAACAGACAGCCGCAAGGACGGGCGCACGACTTCCCGGGGCCACCGTCAAGCACACGGGCAAAAATTCCCCCCCCCCCCCCCCCCCCCCCCGGATCCTGCTTGCAACACCTCCCGCTTTTGTGCCGATCCGACATGGTGTTTTCGATAGCTAACGAACCAAGAAGGACAACATCCAAGTACCGGGCGATTTGAGCAACTCTACGAGGTCACAACATTGGCCAGAAGCTTCACCGGGCCTGCCGATCCCTCATATATTGTTATGATGTTGGAGATAGACATATGATCTTGCTTGTGGTTCTTGGGCTACCCCGCTGAACCACTGGCGTTCAGAGTTGATTTCCGTCCATTTTCGATGCCCTTTGAAGGCCCACTACGACCGACCGCCGCAGTGCCGATCTCAGTTTTTACCACATGAGGGTGTGTTCGGTAGCTAGCCCACCAAAAAGACCCGTATCGGGCGATTTGAGCAATTCTACGAGGTCACAACTCTGCGTTGAAAACTGGTTGCCGGGAGCAAAAAAAAGAGGGTACAGATGTCGTATTTTTATCCAGTTCAAAGCAAAAATACGCCATCATATGAAGTGCTTGGGGAGATAGTTTACAACCTCTTCAAGCTTGGGGACATAGTTTACAACCTCATCAAGGTCCCCTGCTCGCGGCGTGGCAAACCGTTGCCTGTTTGACGAGCATCGGTGATGGTGAAAGACGCGACGCATCTGGTGTGCGGCGCCAAAAATCGGAGGGGTTCCGAAGAATCATGGTGGTAGGCGAGACGCTTTTTTGTCCAGACTTTTTTAGTACGGAGTCCCTAGCAACACATGTGAGGTGTCAAGTCCCGGTGCAGCGAGAGACTGAGAACGCTTCCGAAGGCCACGTCGAGGTTAGTTAGCCTTTCGAACGCCGTCGTCCGACTGCTTTTCGTGCTCGTTGTAGAACGTACGGGTACTCGTTTATTTCATTGACGATATTGATCGTCGAAGGAAGACTACTTCTTCGAGAGAAACCCGTTGAATGAACTCAATGAAGTTCCTTAGAGTGAAACACTTCCGAGTCGGGGTAGGGCACACAACGGTGCCGCAACATGCTATTTTTTTCCCCGCCTCCGCTCCCAATTCGACCGCGCTTCACTACTCTGCAACATGACGCTGCGCAACACAAACACACAACATGCAGGAGACGGTGTTCCAGTGCCTGCAGAGCTGGGTGCGGCACGTCAACGTACCCGGGGACGAGATAGTTCGCAATCCCCTTCTGTCGGCAGCCTTCGACGCCCTGGGAAACCAAGAGCTGTTCGAGACCGCGGTCGACTTATTGGTAGAGGTTAGTCAGAGGGGTGGCCTCGGGCGCCCCAGGCGTTTTGAGAAGGCGGTGCCGCTTGCGAAGGGGGCCGGCGGAACAGGCTTGCTTGGAGGAGGGGGGAGCTTCTGTGTGTGTGTGTGTGTGTGTGTGTGTGTGTGTGTGTGTGTGTGTGTGTGTGTGTGTGTGTGTGTGTGTGTGTGTGTGTGTGTGTGTGTGTGTGTGTGTGTGTGTGTGTGTGTGTGTGTGTGTGTGTGTGTGTGTGTGTGTGTGTGTGTGTGTGTGTGTGTGTGTGTGTGTGTGTGTGTGTGTGTGTGTGTGTGTGTGTGTGTGTGTGTGTGTGTGTGTGTGTGTGTGTGTGTGTGTGTGTGTGTGTGTGTGTGTGTGTGTGTGTGTGTGTGTGTGTGTGTGTGTGTGTGTGTGTGTGTGTGTGTGTGTGTGTGTGTGTGTGTGTGTGTGTGTGTGTGTGTGTGTGTGTGTGTGTGTGTGTGTGTGTGTATGTGTTTGTGTTTGTGTTTGTGTGGAAATCCAGCAGGGACCCGCAGTTGAGGAAAATTTCGTGAAGAAAAAGAGGCTCAAATTTTCACGAAAAATAATAAAATAGGTCGATATAGAAAGCATAGCTCAGCGGTGGATCCTACACTTCCTACGAAGTATATTACAAACTGTGCTCGACGGTGGGCGACGATAATAATACCGTGAGCCTCGACCCAATTTTGACGTTTCTTGTCTCTCTGGGCCTGGTCTGCACGTGCTTCCCCAGATCCGCCCGCGTCCGCACACAACACTGCTGTGTCACGAACGTCCTCAGAGTTAACAACACCCTCTCCCTGGCTCCTCGTGCTTGTGCTTGTTTGTTTCGACCGGTTAGCGGCCGGGCTTAAATTGGGCCTTCCGTTCGCTAACGTTTTTCGCCTGAAAACGTAACGTGTCCTCAGGTTCTGCGGAAGTACAAGGCAAACAACTTCCTTATCGTGCAGCTCATGGTGCCCAAGGCCATGGCGTTAGAGGTTAGTTATTCAGAGGGACCGCTAGGTAACCCTGGTAAATTTCTGTTTGGTTGCGACTTTTGTTTTTCCTCGTTCTCTCTTGTGTTTTTGAGTGGCCACCACCCGGAACACGCAGGAATGACATGACTCTTGGCTGCAGTTCATTCTCGAGTTTGCCTTGTTTTTATTGTGCTTTTTCCCTGATGTGTCTAATAAAATATTTTGTACAGCTCGATGGATCGGGTCAAGACACTCACGAAGAAGTAGGCAAAGGTCTTCGGCCGCATTGCTTATGAGTTGCTCGCCGGTGCACCCACGTATAATGCCTTTCGATTCGCTTGGCGTCGTCAAATACGTATGCTGCTGCTGCTGCTGCTGCTGTGCGTGCCCGCGACTTCAGGCTGCGTACGTGAAGTCGTCGGAGGAGGAAGACGCGGACGTGGCCAGGGGGCTGTGTCGTCTCTTTACGGAGATGGGGGAGGCTTATATGGACGTCATCATGTGAGTCGTTTTCCTCTTTCTCGTTCCCTCTCGCTCGGTCCGCGGTACCCTCGCTCTTGCGATTGCTGTCCCGCCCCTACGGTCGTTCCGCATAGGAACGCGTTGACGCCCGCGTGCTGATACTAGTGTGTGCAACAAAAGTGTTCCGAAAAGGCGATGGAACAGTATGCCAAGATCTCTACCGGTGTGCATAGTTGGAAACGAGCACGAAGAAGTGTACTATCACGCGACGGGTGTTTGAAGCAGATGCGCACACACCTGAGAAAGCTGTCTTGTCTCCCCTGTTTGATGGACTTCCTCGAGCCACAGTCGCTTGCTCGGGGGGTGATGTGTAGTGTCGTTCCCTTGTGCCGTTCATTTTTCTAGACTGCGATGACGAGAAGTTGCTTTTGAACGCATCAATCAACACTCTGGCTTTAGGGCCTCGTTGAAGTCATAAGTCGTGTATATCCAACTACACAAATCACGGCGAGCACCCACCAAAGTGTCAGGTGAAGCTGAGAAATTGGAGTGAATGCAGGCTGCCCCCCCATTTTTTTTTTTCTGCCCTTGCCACTTTTCCCCTTTGCGCTAGAACCTCCCGCCGTATGGAATACGGATATGCCGCACTCCCACCCGTCGCACCGCACCGCCTGTACCAGGGCGCCGGACGACAGAGGGCAGCTTAAGCTGGTGCAAGTGGTGCTCATGTGCACGTCTCACCCGGAGAGGGAGATCGCCACGATACCGCTTTATTTCTGGTACCTGTTCTGCCGGGTGAGCGAACTTAACTTTTTTTTTTTTTCGGTGTTTTTTGTATTTGCTGATTTTTGCTGACTTACGAGCGGTAGATGGGCCAAAGGAGGAAACGCCGCTGCTGTGGAGTGAGCACATGTCGCTGACTCTTGTGGTGCGGTTCGCGATTCACACCCGGCCGTGAGGCGTTTTGGGAATGATTGATCCTGCGACCATGGGGCGCGCTGTGAATCTGTAACCCTGGGTGGGGCGTTCTTTCTGATAAAGAGTGAACCAAATTTGTGCTTGGCTGACTCTGATGCTATTGTTGACTGTTGACTGTGTGCTGCTGGGCTGAGGAGCGCTGTCCCCTACTTTGCATCCGACCCGACCAGTTTTTTTTTATTGTTGAACTAGCCGTTGGACGATGTTGTGGGTCTTGAGTATGTTTTCCTTTCTCTGCGGCTTAACCCCGCTGACCGTCGATCCTGCGGGCCGCTTTGGCTTTCGCTTGAATGATGGATGCAAGACGCTGGAGTCCCTGGAGCCGGCCGATCTCCGCACCGCCCGGTGCGCCATGTTCGGGCCGTGCCTGGTGAGGCTGATCGGGGTGCTGGTGGTGCTGATGCGGTACCCTGAGGACGTCGACGAACTGGCTTCCGATGAGGTAACTTCTGTCGTCGGCCAGGGGTAACGGTGTTTGCATGCGGGAGGGATGTGTCGCCAACGGGTTGGTGAATTGTTGTCGGACCAACAATGCGCACGGTGGCATCAAGTGTTGTATGTGGGATTGTTCCTTTGATTTTGGCAATGGTCAAGGTGGCGTGCCCTGTGACTGTCGAGGAAACCTTGTCGGCTTCGGTTTTGCGAAACCCACCCAGGGTTGCAGTGTTACAGAACATGCAGTGTTACAGAACATGCAGTGTTCTTGAAATGCTAGGCGTGATGTGGCGGCACGCTAGGCTGAGCTCACTTTTTCGGGAGTGAATCGGGCGAGATTTCCTATGGGCGTGAAGGGTCCAATCTTGGTCATGAAACTCACGAAAGCCATGCCTTGAGGGTTCGGAATACAGTGTACAGGATGACAGTGCCTGGTGCGCTGGCTGTGTTGCCTTGTCCGCCATGAGATCGCTGATACCAAGTCCAATTCCCTGCCCTGCCCGTGTACCACTTTGAGTATTTCAGTTTCAATTAATTGTTTTTCGTGGTCAAACGCATTGCCCTGTCTTCCATTGTTTTTTCATGGGCTACTCTATGTATCTTGGGGCAGATTGATGACCTCAAGAGACACCGGTACGATGTCGCCGACGTGCTTCGAGACGTGTGCCGCATCCTGGGGGGGGTTCAGTGCCTGCGCCAAGTGGTCATCCTTCTGGACCAGGAGGTATGTATCAAAAGTTCTCCACACCACCGTACTGTACCGTGTTTTCCTATTTCAAGCCCTATTCTTACACAGCTCGCATTCGGTCTCTGCTATCCGATCACGGCTGGATTTTGGGTCGTTACCTTTTTTTGTTTTCCTCCGGAACAAAGGAGATGGATATGTTGTATTTCATTCTTGGCGCACGCACCAAGTGCTGCTATCTACTGGCATGTGTACATGCTTGGCAGTTTGTTCCGGAGTGAACGAGTGAAGATGTGTTGAAGGTCAGCCGGTCGAACCCACTCTTACCGCCGCTCCCTCATCGACCCTATCATCGTTCTGTTGCGGTTGCTTTTGCTTTCGTGGTTTGGATGCCCTTGTTATCCTGTTTTCGTCCCATCAGCAGGCGACTCTGACTTCCCTTCCATCCTACCATCGTGCTGTTGTGGTTGCTTTTGCTTTCGTGTTTTGGATACCCATTCTGGCTTTTTTTTGGTCCCCATCAGCTGGCGACCCTTGGTACTCTGGCGAGACCAGACGAGCCAGGGGCCTGGCAGGGGGTGGAGGCGTGCCTGTTCGCGACTAGATCGATCGGGAGAGACATACCGACCAATGAGGAGACGATAGTGCCGCAGATCGTGGGGATGCTGCCGCGACTACCGGGGAATCATCACGTGCGATATACGGCCACGCTCATCGTGGGGAAGTGAGTCTGTGTTTTTATGATGCGATACACTCTCTAGGAGCGTGAAGTGACGGGCTACAAAAAACGCCATCAAATGCGAAGCCCTTGTTTTCTGCATGCTTCGCAACTTGATCAACGGAGAAGCCCAACAGCGCATACCTGTTAAGGTTTCAGTGTGACAAGGGTTCGAAAGTTGCGCATCGAACCCTCGGTTCGTCAACGTGTGGCGCCGTGAATACATGCGCTGAACCGAACTTCTTATTGCGGTCGTTAGGTCATTGTTGCAGGAAAAGATGACCCTTGGTAGTAGCGTTCGCCTGCCCCTGTTGTCCCTGTTGTCATGTGCTTGAATCTCTTAGCGTCTCTCGTCCCTGTTGCCTTCTTTGTAACTTGTGTGCTAGATCCTGTTTTCTTTTCTTGTTCTTTTCTTGTTTTTTTCTCACTTTCTCTTGGTGATCCGATCCAGGTACTCGGAGTGGTTGAAGCTCCACCCCGAGCACCTGACGGAGATGTTCGCCTTCCTGATGGAAGGCTTCGCTTCCCCCGAAGTCATGCCGGCGGCCGCCACCGCAATTAAGGTCAATGTACTCTTGAACCCGCGTTAAGAGTGCTAGTACTTCCAATGATACCCAAAGCAAGTAGCAAGTTTTCGACTGTGGTTTGGCCACCCAATGCTGTTGTATCATAGGTGTCATTTGTGCTGGGTCCATCTGGATGGTTTTGTGCTATCCTTCTCCTTCGAGGCACCCCATTGCGTGGTGAAAGTAGTTCCGGGTTTGCCACGCTCTCATTTCTGGATGCCCTCTGTCATGGGGACATACGCGTAAACCGTGGTGGTGGTGTCGCAGTTGTGTACGAGAGAGACTCCTGCGGTATCAGGGCAAGTTCCAAGTTTTGATTCGACATCGCATGCATCATCATGGGGGAGGCCCGAAAGCGGTCGGCCTTCGTTCGGCAGCGCCACGCTGGAATGCGAAGCCGACATTGCGCTGTGCTCAGAAGCCAAGCGATGTTTTTGCCCGCCTGCGCGACCGTTGCGGGGGGGGGGGGGGGGG